TATTAATTTTAATATTTATGACATATAAATATTTTTTATTAAATAATTAATTAAATTAATATTAACTTTTAATTTTATTATATATATTAATAATAAAAAAATAAAATAAACCCACCCTTATCATATATTCTTAAAATCCCATAAAAAATTATAAAAGGAAAGAAAGTCGAAAATGTATGTTTGAAGATCGAGAAAATCTAGGCCGTTAGATCATTTCGCTTACGCAACACTACATGCCGTCGGAAAACTGTCGGGGAAGTGAAATCGGAAAGTAAAGCTTGTTTTGGGTTTTCCCCGTTCACCTCAACGACTCCTTTTGGCGACGGGATCGCCACTGTAACCAGCTGATTTTGGCTCCAGCTCTCACTTACAGACTGCTCGCTTCGCCGGCGACGAGAAATTTAGCCTCTGTCTCACTTGCATTCGCTAAGTAAGTGTGACTCTCTCTCCTCCTTATCTGCCATTCTATTTGCTTGAAAAGAAAAGACCTGTGAAACTAGGGAATTCCTCTTATTAAACTGAAATGCATTTTTTGTTACTTGTATTTTAGTTGATTTGAAGGAGTTTTGTTGCAAAAATTAGCTTACTTTATCAAAAAAGATGTGATCTTTCATTGTGAAGTTTACAACTTGTTTAGAGTGATTACATTAAAAGCTAAATGTTAATGTTATAAAAACATTGGTGAGAGGAAAAGATTCAGTTTCTCAGGTTTGTTGTTAGGGGTTTTTGGTTTGATTTGATTTGCAACTTTTTGTGGCTTGGATTTAGGTAATTTGTTGTCTGTTTAGACATGCTAGTAGTTTAAGGTTTGCTTTCCTATATATACTCTTCTGCTCATGGTACATTGGCTTAGTTGCTTACTGTATTTGCAACTTGTAAGTTGTTGAAAAGATGAGCTTGTAAGTTGTTGAAAGATGGCAAAGCGCAAGCGGGCAGCAAGGCAACCTGTTTCTAGAAAACCCTCCACAGCAGGGAAAAAAGGTGAAGAAACAACTAGGAAACCAGTGCCCAAAAAATCCTCTGCAGTGGACCAAAATGAAGAAGCATTTCTGAATTTTGTAAATCAAAACAACAAAGAAAAATGCAGGAATGAGGACTCGAATGATTATGAAGTTAACAACCTATCTGATTCTTGCTCTGGCTCTGACTTTCCCTCTGAGGCAGATAGTAGCTCACCTTCTTCATCTTCTTCAAGTGAGAGTGATGAGCCATACAATGCTGCAGATGGTAGCTCTGACGACTTGTCTATTAATAAGCGACCAAGGAAACCAGTTAAAAGGCATGGTAAAGCAACAGAAAAGGCAAGGAAATTATCAAAGAAAGAGGAGAAGGAGAACCTTAAGTTGTCAAGGGTTTTGCGTTCTTCCAATAGAAAGCCAAAGGAGTTGGAGACTCCTCATCAGGATCTGCAGTACAAGAAAGAACTCAAAGCTGCCTTGGGGGTATGCTGATGATCATTATCAATTCAAAGATTTGGGCATCACACAATTAGCAATTCTGAAAACTTTTGATAACAGATTTAGATGAGATATTCACTCTGGCTGTTCACTGACAAAGCAAAGAAAAGTACTCTCAAATTGCTAATTGAATAATGCCTTAGTGTGTCATTGTTAAATTCTGATATGTTAATGCTCAGAGCTCATGTTGAACAGGTAATTAAGAAAGTTATGAAAATGGACGAGGCACAACCTTTCAATGTTGCAGTAGACCCTGTTGCTTTGGGGAAACCTGTAAGTGTTAGTTAGTATATGGCATCTACTTGCATTGCCAAAGCACATGCCAAATTCAGCAAATTCTTAAGTCAAATTACATAATTTTCATCCTTCTTCACTCAGTTCTTAAATTTTGAATCCTTTGTAATTTCTAGCATGCTTTGTTGGACTTAGTGTCAGTGGGACTAGAAATTCATTACAAATGGTCAAATCAGGCATTGTTTTTCCTTTTGATGAATTTGAGTCAGTAGATCTTTGAAGAGTTGGAGAGGCCAATGCATTTGTTTGCAGATTAGTTTTCATATTTATAGTTCTCATCAGTCATCATTTATCAAAGTATTCTTTGCCATTATGCATATAAATGCATATTTTCTCAATTTCATTCATCTAACTGATTTTGACATGGATTATATTTTCCCTCACACACATATATGGCACTTGTTGTGGTTGGCTGGATCCAGGATTTTTTCGACATAATAGACACACCAATGGATTTTAGCATGATATGCAGCAATTTACAAAACAATGTTAAGTACAAGAACTCAGAAGATGTCTATAAGGATGTAAAATACATTTGGGAGAACTGCTTCAAATACAACAAGAAGGGTGAGTATATTGTGTATCTAGTGAAACGGGTGAAGAAGAAGTTCATGAAGTATTGGATAGCAGGTGGCTTGTACAATGAGCAATCAAGAAAACCTAATGGTATGGTTTCCTCCTGCATCATTGTAATTTATGATATCATTTTTCATTTATTTGTCATATCCGCAGAATAGTAATTTTGTTCCAATATTTGGGTGTTGATTTTATAAGTTAATTCTTTGTCCTTTCCTTTAACAGAAAATTTGCACTTACAGCCTCCTGCAGACCACACCATTAAGCACGACAGATATGAGCCAATGCATCAGGTAGGCAACGCAATTGATGGAATCAGCCACAGGCGGCAGAATGGAGTGGATCCCAGTCAACCCTATTGGCAGTTGCCTCCATTGAGCTATAGCCAACCTTATCAATCACGGCAACCTCCACCAAGCACCATGTGGCCACAGCTCTCCCAGTTCCCTCCATCAAGCTCTGGCCAGCCTCATCAGCTTCAGCATCTTCAGCCAAGCACCAACCAGCCCCAATACTCTCAGTTACAGCCTTGTGCTGATTGTAGCAGTGCAGGTACTCCATTAATAACTTGTATAATATTTTAGACGAAAGACTTGCATGCTGCTGAGATACTCACTCCAACCATAATTAGTACCTTGTTTTTTGGAGGTTGTTTGATGGTATTAGCCTACCTTCAAAAGTCTACAGCTAATTACTTTTCAATTTTCTATATTGTTCCTTTGAAATGATGCTGATGAAGAATAGTCACCTCTTTAAACCATACAGGGCAAAATTTTCAACCAGCCAATATTTCTTCTCATGTATATAAAAGTTCCCTAAACTTTCTGCATGTTAAAGGGAAATATGAAACTGAGAAGTATTTTGTTTTTGGAATGACTTGAATAAAAACCTTAACTTTTGAGGTTTTTTTTTTTTTTTTTAAATGCTTGACATACACGACTTTGTAGATTCACCTGGGCAATCTTTGAATTTCTCTCAAGGTCTTGTCATGTCAATGCTTAATTTGGCAAGCTCATGCTTTTATTCATTGGATCTTAATCTGTCTTACATTATTCACCTGAACTTATATGTAGTTGATGGCCGAGAAACAACACCTTATATGTAGTCAATATGTGACTGGTACTTTGGTTGCTTCTTTTATCTGGCCTTTATCCCCACAGGAGATTCACACTTTCAGCCTCATGAGAAAGTGCAGAAGCAAAAAAATTATCCTCCCAGCTCTTCATTAGGCCCTACTGGCCCCCTCAACCAGTCGCAGCCACTGCAGCCCCAGCTAATCCACAAACAGCCACTTGTTATGCAGCAGCCCCAACAGAGTGCCAGTCATATGCAAGCTTCTCAATTGCCGGCTGCTTTAGACACTAGTACGTCAAGCATAGTGGTTTAGATTCAAGTTATTCTGCTACACTCTTCAGCTTGCCTTCATGTATCCTGCCTATAGTAAATCTTTATTTCAATTCACCATACAGGTTTTGAGGTCGCAAGCATGTAATATCTTGCTCTCTTTCTTTTTTCTTTTTTTTTTTTTCACAAAGAATCTGAATAAGATTTTGCTAAAGATTCCATTTTTGTTATTCTAGGAGCATTTCCAACACACTTTTTTCTTTGGTAGGACATTCACACATGCCACCTCATATGGACTACACAAGGTATCCTGTCCCTTGTGGTCCAGCAGATCTTGAAGTAATGAGCCCCATGCAAGTACATCCCTTGAGCAATGTTCGGTTGGATGAACCACAGCAGCTGCGGGCAAGCGATGGCCAGCCTCAGTCTTCCTGGTTCCAGACTAATGCAGATATTGGTAGTGTGAATGTGCTATTTCTTTACCATTCAGTAGATGAGCTGTCTTAGGATTTTGTTTTTGTGTATTATCATGTAAGAATGCTCATATCTTTTGTTTAGCAATTTTAACTGCTGCCAACAACAGAAATAATAACTAATAAACGATAATGATGTCCAGTGTTGGCTTTCTATTTTTGTCAAATTCCATTCAGGTCAAAACAGATTTTATTTAATACTTGAATATTTAATTGTTTTCCTCTCTATGAAAGATGCAGTATTTTCAGTTCGTGTCAAACTTATGATTTATTATATATTATTCCCCCTGGTTGCCTTGCAGAACATTCAATTACAGACTCCGCTACGAGGGGTATTAGGTGTGCACTGAAGTATTCTGCTGGCCCCATTGTGGATAGCTCTAACCAAGGACAGAAAGATCAGCTCAGCAGTGGTGTGAAGCTGCCTGAACAGTCACCAATGAACCAGAATCAGGGAGACCAATTACAGCAGCCTACAAAGACAATGAAGAAAGGGAGAGGTCCAACTCGCTGTCTCTTCCTGAATGAACTCGAAGATGGCGAGCGGATAGTTGTCTCTATCAACAAACTGGGACAACCCATTGGTCCTGAGTCATCTAAGCTTAGCAGCTTCCTGGGTACTGTAGCACGGAATGGTTATATGGCACCCTTAACTTATTTGCAATGGAGACATATGCCTGATTCATACAAAGAGAAAATGTGGCAACATGTTCAGGCAAGGAGAAGCAATACTGCTCTTTTCTTTGTTGTATTGTCATTTTTATTTTTGAAAATTTATATTGTTCTTTATACACTATGTTTGTTTTCCTATGCAACAGACAAAGTTTGATATGGATCCAAGTTGCAAGTCCTGGGTTATGAAGTCCCTTGCAAATAAATGGAGGGACTGGAAGGCAGAATTAAAGGCAAAGCATTATTACCCTCATAAGACTGATGAAGAGCGGTTGATGGACTGTCATCCAAGGGTTGTTCCTGACCAATGGACGTTTCTTGTCTCATATTGGAACTCTGATAATGCCAAGGTTTGTTTTCAGCACTAATTTCAGTAGAAATTTCTACTGACATGACAAATCATTTTGTCCGGTTCTATTTGCCCTGTATACTTAAGATAAAGACTACAAATATGATGCTTATATGTGCCATTTGTAGAAGCAATGCACTACAAATAAGGCCAATCGTTTAAAACAGAAAGCTAAACTTGCTTCAGGATCAAAAAGTTTTGCGAGGATCCGTGAGGAGGAGGTAATTCTTGAAATTTAGAATTGCAATTGCATATATGCTGTTCTCTTAACTTATTCTTTATGTGAAAACAGAGGATGAAGAGGCCTGATGGAAAGGAGCCAACTCGAGCTGAGTTGTATATATTAACACATACACGACGCAAGGATGGGCAGCCTGTTGATGAGATAGCAGCTGCAAACATAGTATGTATAAGTTACTCGTCTGGAAAGCTCATTGTTTGTATTGTTTTTACAGTTTTAAACACTTACATATTCATTGCAGGCAAAACTCCGTGAACTAGCTACCAAGAAACAGAATGGCTCAGAATGTAGTGATGATGATAATGACACATTGTGTCAAGTTCTGGGAGAAGAAGAAGACCATCGCTATGTCCGCACTTATGGATTAGGCCCCACTCCTGATGATGTTTATGGCCCGTCAGCTACTGGACCAAGAGCTACCCGTGACCTCATAAATATTGCATCTGATGTTAAGAAGTCAGCAAGTGAAGAAGTAAGGAAGGTGTTAGAGAAAATGGAAGCCATGGAACAGAAATATGCGAATATGGAGAACCATATAGCCAGCCTGACTTCAAACATGCAGAAATTTCTTGAGAAGTTTGGTGGACCATCAAACATTTTGGGTTCGGAGCAGGTAAAGATACAACCTGTCTACCTTAACCTTGCCTATTGCCTCATTCTGATGTCTCATATCTCATTCCCGTCCCATTCCCATCAGGTCCTCAATACACCCAATTCTCTTCAGCTCTTACATCAGCCACATCTACATTCAACATCATCAAGTCACGCTGTAAGTTCACAAATTCTTTTTCTTACCCTTTCCTTTAACTAGCCTTGTGTATATATAGTGCCAATTCCTTTCATTGGATAGGATGACAGTTGACTTTTTAACTTGGGCTGTAAACGAGCCAGGCTGAGTACTTTAGTACTCGAGCTTGAACCTGCTCATGTGATCCTTATCAATCTCAAACTCGTCTCGTTTGGGAAACAGGCCTGAGTACCTTGCAAGGTCTAATATAATTTAATATGATATGTTATAAAATAAAATAATTTACATTTTTTATTGTAAACGAACTACTGACAAGTAGCTCAATGCTATGATTAGGCTTGAGCAGAATTGAGCTTAAATCGAGTAGCTCGCGACCTAGTCGACTTCATTTGCAGCCTTGCTAGTGATTGGATTGCCTACTTTTAAGAACTTGGGCTTTACTGATAACATTTGCTTTTCTTTATAGGGTGCAAACGGCCGGGGCTATGCATAATGGATGGTCAGTCCAAACAACCATTCTTGCATTTTCTGCACGTGGCTTTATGTTAATTGTAATTACAGTTGTTTTAGTTTACATTAACAGGATATCCGAACCATTATTCAAGAAGTTGGAACTGGTTACTCGCATATTATGAATTTTATCCACGTCAATGTTTAGATGGAATAAAATGTTAATCTATTTGCAGATTACAAATTAGGGATGGCAATGGGTCCATATGGGGTGGGGACACCCTCTCTATCTCTGTCAATAATAGGTATGAGGATCCCAATAAAATTTTTTGGCAGGGATCAAAAGTGACATTCATTCACATATTCGTAGAGAATAATAGGTCTTTATGAGTATTTAGAATTCTCGTCAAATATTAAATATATAAAATTTTATTTTATTTTTTTCTTGATAAATAAAAAAAGTAAAAATTGAAAACAATTCAAACAAGTAAATATATTAACATATAGTGTAGCAAAACAATATCTATTAACCAATTGTAGCAAATTTACTTTGTAATGCATGTTCAATAGGTCTAACAACAAGTTCATAAAGAAAATAGCATAAAATGTCACATATGTTTAAGTTGGGTTGCGTTATTAAATTGGATTTAGAAAGACTAAAATTGGAAAAGGAATTAAACTGGACAATTTAGGTTAGGTTGGATTAGCTAATTAGGTTAGATGAGTACAAATTAATTGATAATATATTTATAAAAATATATATAATAAATTTATATTTTTTTATTATATATAAATTTTTCACAGGTATTAAAAGAATGGAAGAAATTTTTTATGAAATTTCACAAGAAAAAAAGTACTTCTTTTTCTATTTTACGAGAAAAAATATTCTTAAAATCTCTACCCACAATGAAAATCTCCAGGAAATTACACGAGTATGTAAAGAAATTGCATCCCTAGTACAAACAACACAGCTCCACAATTTGGGAGTCAGTCTCCTAGTCCCCCGGTGGTCCCATTGAATGTAGGGTTCTTGTCTTTGGTTACATCAGATGATTAATTGTTTGACAATCAGGTCTGCTAAATTCTTGTTGGTGCAAGGTTCAACTTATACAATCCGTATTAAGGCAAACGGATAGAAAACTTTTATAGGCAACCATAGCAACAATGATTATAAATGCTTAGCTAGGCAAAAAGTTTGACTTAAAAATAGATCAGCAAAAGGAATTGTAAGACGTTATTTATTTATTTATTTATGAGATAAGACTTTTCTTGTCATATAGATGCAGGATGGTTTAATTTCTCTTGATAAATAAATTTTTAGTTAAAAAAATGTTTTAGCCAACAATACCATTTTCTATTTTATGCAATTTATGAGGAGTTTAAATAAAGGTCAAAGCCGTATTTGCATCTTCTACATTTTTTTAGTTAATATCTTAAATTAATTTTCATATTGATCATCACTTTTTATTATTCAAAACTCAAAACTTTTTACTTATATCTGAAATTTATAGTCAAATTCTTTACTTATACTATAATTTTATTAATAATTTGAGATTTTTTTATGAATTTTAAGTTATAAAAAATATTATTCAAGATAAAAATTAATTTAAAATATTAATTATAAAAAAAAATATAAAATGTAAATAAAGGGTTTCAGTGTTTCACCTTAAATAAATAGTATTTTTTATGAACCAGTAAAAATACGTAGTTGTTTTCAAACAAAAACATTACTCTTGACCGTGATTTTAAAAGACGTCGCTTTGGGGATCTGCCAATAATAAAATATATGTGCGGTTAGTCGAATTAACGTCCAAAACCAAGCCAGCTCTAATCCAGAACGCGCGACGAAATCTAGCTTTAACGTTAATTTCTCCAAAAACTATAAAAAGCTCTTAATTTCACTGCTTTCTTTTCTTTCGTCGTAAAGGTACGCTTTAATATCCCTCCCAATTAAAATTTATTTTCTTTTAGTTTTCACAACGATTGTTTAACTAGCTGTTGCTCCGACCAACTAGATTGGTTGGAGCAAGTTAGCTCAGAACTGTAGATTCAGTAGCTTCTTCTTCACCTCTCAGGTTGGTTGGTTTAATGGTTTCTTGCTGTTAAATTCGGTAGGAGATAGCTTCTTCGACGACTAGGAATATGTAGAAAAGATTTGAACTTGAATTAGGGTTTTTCAAATCGATTAATGGGTTGTTTGAAAAAAATTAAAATTTTCAGTTACAAGATATTTCGGCCAGGAAGAAAAAAAAAATTTTGTTAAGCCAATGACTTAAGTTCAGGGTAATCTCTTTCAAGCAAAAGTAAGAGGGTTTGAATTTAAATAATATGAAATATGGGTGGATATGATAAAATATGAAAAAGAGTTATTTTTTATTGTGTAACTCATCTAAAAAAAATTGATAAATTTGGTAAAAGTACCTTGGTTTTTTCTTTTTTTTAAGAATGAATATGATGTTTCCTCTTTACATGGATTGGAAGCTTAGAATGCGAATTGATGTAATTATGGTTGGTTTTGGCTGTTTTAGATTTCTAGTTTGTGAAAGATGACGAATTTGGGTTAGACTATGAACAGGAAACGAGGGCACAAGAAAGGTAACAAACCCAAAGCCCCAGCTACAACAGCTCCAAGTGAGGCAGTTGTCAATGTTGTTAGTGAAGAGAATACTGGTAATGATGAGTACAAGTCTGGAAAGGAGGTTGATACCCCTTCTTCAACTGGGACTGATCAGCCATTGGTAAATCTTGTAAACTTAAAAATCTGACGGCTCTGTGGGTACTGAGAATCATTTAATAAGAAGATTTAGTTATTGATTTGATTTATATTCATTTTAATCAAAATTGTGCAGATGGACACTGCTGTGTGCTGTCTTTGGGCATTATCTTAATACACGTAGAAAATTTTCCGTTGCTTGGCTATTAAGCTATAAGGTGAAGTGCAAAGAAAAAGAAAGGAACAGTACTTGTATCTAACTTTGACTTTTATATTATTTATGTAATGATGTTTTCCACTCATGTTTCATACTGATTGAATTCTGTATCTTTTGTTGCTACTACTGGGTATGGCACTAGTTGTTTTGTCTAATTGAAAAATCATATTTGACTTTCTTGATAGAAGGAATCTTTACCTGTAGCAGAGAGCCCTTGTGGTGAGGACTTACCATTAAATAACAGTGAATCAGTAGATCTTGAAGAAGATGCTGAGATGGAAGATAAAAGAGAGGTGAAAATGGACTGTAGTGAGCAGCAGTGTAGGTGTAGCCCTATGGAAGAGAGACGTGAGGAGGATGAGGAAGAGGGTGAGGATGAGGATGAAGAGAATGAGGTAAAGATTCTAGGGAAAGGTGAAGTTGAATCAAAACAACAGTCACAGCTTGGCAATAGTTTGGTAGAGGAGCCTATTAGACAATCTCAGCCTGAGATTGCAGACAAATTGGGTGCAACTACACAAAGTCAGAAAGGATCTACTCCAGCAGAACGTGAGGAACAAAGTAAAGCAGTTCATGGAAAGAGGCACAAGGTATTTCAATCTCCCGCTTCCTCACAGCACAATGAAATACATTTTCTTGCTTCTGTTCTGCTTGATAATCATGGTGGTGAGAAGTTTATTTATACAGTAAGGAACTACTCCAGCGGACCTTATTCCATTTTAGTGAGAGATTTGTGCAAGCTATGGTTAGTAATGATAAAGGGGTATTAGTGAATAAGGAACTCGCAAATATTTTTTACTGGAGAAAATGGAGAGAACTCATAGGAAAAAGAAAGAAGAATTGACATAATTGGAGATGTCAACATGATTGGGGATGATTGTCTGTTTTAATGTAGAGACAAAGAAAAGAAAAGGGTAAAGTTATACTTTACCTTTTCTAGGTTTGCCGTTTATTGTAGATTTAGTGACTTAGTCCATCTACCATAAGCATGATGGGGGATGACTCTCTTTTAATTTAAAGATGAAGAAAAGAAAAGAAAAGGGTAAATTATACTCTGCCACCTCCAGTTATGCCTTTTGTTGTATAGCTTTAGGGAATCTAAATCTAAACTTGTAATAATTGTTGCAATATTCCATAGAGCTACAGCTTTAGTTTGGGAGTAAGATTTCACAGGGTAATAGTTTGCAATAGATTCACATGATAGGGGATGGTAATAGTTTGTGACATTTCACAGGGTAAATCTGAAATTTCACATGTTTTAATTAGAAGTTAATTTTCTTTCTCCCTCATGCCTGCTAAATTTCTCAGTATAGATTCAGACATACCATTCCGCTTAGTGTTCATTTACCATCTCTAATATTTTAATTTGCTTTGGTTCATGTTAGTGAGTCAATTGTCTAAATATGATTAGAGGAGTTGCAAGATAAAGCTAAGATGTTAAACAGCTTCTATCCTGAAAATTCCATGCTCCTGAACTTGTGTGGAACCCTCTTTCCCAACAATCACAAGTCTGTTTGGAGGGGTCCTCATTCTCTGTTCCAACGTCAGGGGTCTTCTCAGACTGCTTCAATTCAAGCTGCCATGGAGACCTTCATGAAATAAAACCATCTTTCTAAGATGCCTGCCTGTGGGATCTTACTAGGTTCCTTGTCAAAGACGATTTGACTTTCGAGGTAGCCTACGGTAATTAGTATTTCTCAACAAAATTTACTGATTAACTTCTGGAATGATTTATATTTTTTTTTCTTCTGTTGTAATTGTAAAGTAGTGCATGAGAAGCATAGGAGAAATTGGTGGAACGTAGAAGATAAAAACTTTTACCATTTCCCCTCAATCTAGTGCTAATTCTTTCTTCCTCCCTCTTGATCTTGGCGAAAAGTGTTGATATTTATATTCTTCAATCAGTCTGTTGCAATTTCTTTTTCTTTTTTCTTTTTCTTTTTTTTCACTTCCTTTTGTATTTGTTTATTTATCTTTTTGGATTGAGAAAATGAAGGCAAGGAAAATCCATAGATAATGGTAGAAAAATACAACATTGTTTATGAATATAATGACGAAAATAATAACATCTATAGAGCAACAATAAGTATCTGTACAGGTCGAAAAAAGAAAAAAGGAAAAAAAAAATAAAACCACAAGTACAAGGTGCATACAAATATGAAATTAACAGAAACGATTTTCTATAGTGATACGTGAAAAGATGAAATGATGGCAACGTATAAAACCCCTGTTCATTGATGATGTAAACACGGGTGTTTATATTATACATAATCTGATTTATTCGACTTAAATTGATTTAATTTAACAAAAAAATCAAAGCAAATCAATATAAAATTAAGTTAATTTAAATTATAAAATTATAAAATTGATATAATTGATTTAATTTGTAATTTTATCTTAAATTAT